TTACCTCCCCTCCTCCTTCTCACGTTACCCCCCTCACTCTCACATTACCATCACCCCTCTCACATTACCATCACCCCCCACACCATCACCTCCCTGTCACCATCACCTCCCTGTCACCATCACCCCCCCCATACACACAACACACTTCAAGCAGCTACCCCATACATGCTCACAGAGACATACATTCACACACAAGGATACTCTGTCAGACACACTCTCAGGCACATACACAGGTAAACTGTGCATCAATGTGTATATGTGACACTTTTTTGTTAGTGGGGCCTCATGTTTGAGTTTCGCCTAAGGCCTCATAAAGTCTAGAGCCGCCTCTGCAGAAAACCATCATTGACACCCTCCATAAGGAGGGAAAGCCTCAAAAGGTAATGGCAAAGGAAGTTGGATGTTCCCAAAGTGCTGTATCAAAGCACATTAATAGAAAGTTATGTGGAAGGGAAAAGTGCTGAAGAAAAGGGTGCACAAGCAGCAGGGATGACCGCAGCATGGAGAGGATTGTCAGGAAAAGGCCATTCCAAAGTGTTGGGGACTTTCACATGGAGTGGACTGAGGCTGGAGTCAGTGCATAAAGATATCGAATTCCTTTTGTCAAGCCGCTCCTGAACAACAAGCAACGTCAGAAGCATTCTTACCTGGGCTAAAGAAAAACAGACCTGGTCTGTTGCTCAGTGGTCCAAAGTCCTCTTTTCTGATGAGAGCAACTTTTGCATCTCATTTGGAAACCAAGGACCCAGAGTCTGGAGGAAGAATGGAGAGGCACACACTGCAAGATGCTTGAAGTCCAGTGTGAAGTTTCCACAGTCTGTGTTGATTTGGGGAGTCATGTCATCAGCTGGTGTTGGTCCACTGTGCTTCATTAAGTCCAGCACTTCATGCTTCCTTCCACAGACGAGCTTTATGGGGATGCTGACTTCATTTTCCAGCAGGACTTGGCACCTGCCCACACTGCCAAAGCACCAAAGCCTGGTTCAATGACCGTGGGATTACTGTGCTTGATTGGCCAGCAAACTCGCCTGACCTGAACCCCATAGAGAATCTATGAGGCATTGCCAAGAGAAAGATGAGAGACAAGAGACCGAACAATGCAGAAGAGCTGAAGGCTGCAATTGAAGCATCCTGGTCTTCCATTACATCTCAGCAGTGCCACAGGCTGATAGCTTCCATACCATTGAGGCAGTAATTGCTGCAAAAGGGGCCCAAACCAAGTACTGAGTCCATATGCATGCTTATACTTTTCAGAGGTCCAATATTGTTCTATGTACACTCCTTGTTTTATTGATTGCATGTAATATTCTAATTTACTGAGATTGTGGATTTGGGGTTTTCATGAGCTGTAAGCCATAATGATCGCACTTATGACAAATCATGGCTTGAACTATCTTGCTTTGCATGTAATGCGTCTATCTCATATATTAGTTTCCGCTTTTACGTTGCATTACTGAAATAAATTAACTTTTGCACGATATTCTAATTTTTCGAGTATCACCTGTATATTATCTTTCCTACATGCAAGTGTTTATAGTTTATATTAATATATGTTTCATAATTAAAATGTAAATGCTTTTTCACAGACTTATTTTTCAAGCCCCGCCCCCCGGGTTTCTCTTTTTTTTTTTTACATTTGTCTGTCGTATCATCACGTTATGTATTTCTCATATATTTGTTATATTGTTTGTATCACATGTCGATATTAATGTAATATCTTACTGACATATTTGCTTGCATGTCAAATTGATTATTGAATTTTAATGCATTTCAAGCACTTTACTGTGCTATATGATCCGCATGTATGCAGGGCCAGACTAACATAGGGGCTTATGGAGCTGAAGCTCCAGGCAACTGCTCATGGAAAAGGCCTATTCATTTTTTTTTACTACTCTTCGCATGCTCTTGCTTTGTGCAGAGGCAATTAAATATGAGGACTTAGGAGGGATGTAGGGTAACAAAACATGTGTGGATGGCTGACAGTGAAATTAGTTAAGTTAATAAACAAACAGTTACACAACAGCTACATCCCCATAATCAAAGATTGGCATCAGCATTTGCTGTACAATCTTTTCCTTTACTGTAGGGCTTGGGCAGGATTTGTTTCTGTACAGCGCACCTAGTTTTGGATAAAGTTTAGATGCAAGTTTTTCTATGTGGAGGCCAAAAGATAGATTGGGGTCTAACAACATGCCCAAGTATTTGAAAGAGTGGACTGCGGTCAATGTACTATTTGATTTTGTTTTAATGGATAGGTGGGAATTGTGTAATTTGTGTAATTTAGGTACTGTTCCAAAGATCACTGTGACAGTTTTGTCAGTGTTTAGGAAGAGTTTGTTTTTTACGATCTACTTTTCTACAGCCATTAGAATAAATGGCGATAAGATGGAAATCTTCGGATGCAGTGGTGAATCTGTCACTTGTACTAGATGGAGAAGATAAACAGCTGTATAACAGTCCAACAAAGAAAATCCACAGGTTCAATAGGATGGAAACTCCAAACTGGATTTATTAGAAACAGGAGCACAACAAATATACAACGTTTTCCCGTCAAGCCTAAATTATGATTCGAATAAATCCAGTTTGAAGGTTCCATCCTATTGAACCTGTGGATTTGTGACTTTGGATTGTTTATTTGGAGGCTGTGATTCTTCATAGTACAGTGTACCAGGCTGAATTGGGTTCAATATTTCCATTCCTTTGAGTGCCACACCAGACTACTATTGAACATCTGTATAACAGGCTACGTTCTCTCCACTTTAACATACTCCGCTGTTATCTAATTTCTTTGTTACAAGAATAGTGAAAGCTTGTTTATTTTTACCCGGTTTTATATAACACTTGTCTCCCTGGTACAGACAGCATGCTTTAATGAATAAAAAAATCTTTACATTCTTGCTGTCTGTGTATGATTTGTTTATATTTAATCCTCGATCCTCTCAGTTTTACTTTTTAATCTTTGGACCAGTTTGAGTTAATACACGTTGTTTCCTTGACTTGCCTTCACCATCAATCATACATTCCTTACTTTCATTTTTTTTTCCAAACCAAATATTTTTTTTAATTTTCTTGGAAGAAAATGCAGATAAAGAGGGGAAATGATTTTTTTTCAAATAGAAGAATTTCTCTGCAATTGGGGCTTAGTAGTACTTTAAAAGAACACTATAGCACAAACCTAGATTACTGACACTATAGTGTGCTCCTCTTTAATTTGTTTGTGAACCCATTGCTAAATCTAAATAGAAATGATAAGGAGGGGGGAGTGTAGTATTAGAATCTATTAGAACTGCAAATATGTAAGGCATCTAATAGGGTTATGGACTAAACTGAGAATTGCTAAGAATGTAAACTGAATTTAAAAATGTAGGTCAAAATTTCCAAATTAGAAGAAAATTCTGTAAGTGATTTCGGTGTTAAGTTTTGACCTTCAGTTTTAAATTCAATTTGATTTCCAAGCTATTCTCACTTCAGTTAAAAAAGTTAGCATTTTGTCAGGAATGTTCAATGAAACAGATATACCATCCAAAATTTGCAATGGACACAGAGTAATACTTTAATTTTTGGGGTGGTTGTGTGGATAGGAGCGGGGCTGTTCTGAGAAAGGTTAGATGACTTACTAATATTTTTTTTTTTTTTTTTTGTGCAACTAAAATGTAATTTAGAAGAAAAATAAATGTATCTATTACACAGAACTATATCTAAACACATTTATTGTCATTTGAAGACAAATTACTGTGAGTATTATTGCTGTAGAGCTCTGTTATACACTCATGCACACCAACAATATGTAGCTCCTAGAAAAGAGAGACATTAGGATAACAAGTACAGATGGATTTGGATTCAAAATAGGGACTGTCCCTCCTAAATATGGACGCTTTGGAATTATAAACAAAACAGGGAAATAGTTTAAATGGCAGAGAAAGTGGGTTGGAAAGAATTATGAACAGTTACTGAGACATATCTACATTTACTATTGTGAAAATAATCCTAAATGTGATTAAAGTAAATTAAAGGGGCACTATGGTCACCAAAATAACTTTAGCTTAATTAAGTAGTTTTTGTGTAAAGATCATGCCTGAAGTTTCACTGCTCAATTTACTACCATTTAGGTGTTAAATCACTTTTCTTTATGCAGCCCCAGCCACACCTCCTCTCGCAGTCTGCATGAAAACAAAATATTTTCAATCAGATCTAACTTACTTTAAAAGTTTTTATCTCCTAGTTTGTAAATTGAACTTTAATCTCACACAGGGTCTATCTAGCAAGCTATTAACAGAACAACAAACAAGATATTCTAAATTAAACAGCATTTTTAATAAAGGAAATGTAAACATTAGATTACTCTTTACAGGAAGTGTTTAGGAGGGCTGTATAAGTCACATGCAGGGAGGTGTGACTATGGCTGTATAAACAAAGGGATTTCACTTTTAAATGGCAGCGAGTTGAGCATTGAGACAGCAGGAACATGATCTACACCTCAAAACTGCTTCATAAAGCTAAAGTTTTTTTGGTGACACTAGTGTCCCTTTAAGTAAAGTAAAATCACCGGAATCAATTTGGAAATTGGGTGAGATAATCCATCAATATTCTCTACTCTTGCAACACAGGATAATATTACAGGGAGTGCAGAATTATTAGGCAAGTTGTATTTTTGAGGATTAATTTTATTATTGAACAACAACCATGTTCTCAATGAACCCAAAAAACTCATTAATATCAAAGCTGAATATTTTTGGAAGTAGTTTTTAGTTTGTTTTTAGTTTTAGCTATGTTAGGGGGATATCTGTGTGTGCAGGTGACTATTACTGTGCATAATTATTACTAATTATCAGTGACCAATATAGCCACCTTTCTTTGCAAGGACACTCAAAAGCCTGCCATCCATGGATTCTGTCAGTGTTTTGATCTGTTCACCATCAACATTGCGTGCAGCAGCAACCACAGCCTCCCAGACACTGTTCAGAGAGGTGTACTGTTTTACCCTCCTTGTAAATCTCACATTTGATGATGGACCACAGGTTCTCAATGGGGTTCAGATCAGGTGAACAAGGAGGCCATGTCATTAGATTTTCTTCTTTTATACCCTTTCTTGCCAGCCACGCTGTGGAGTACTTGGACGCGTGTGATGGAGCATTGTCCTGCATGAAAATCATGTTTTTCTTGAAGGATGCAGACTTCTTCCTGTACCACTGCTTGAAGAAGGTGTCTTCCAGGAACTGGCAGTAGGACTGGGAGTTGAGCTTGACTCCATCCTCAACCCGAAAAGGCCCCACAAGCTCATCTTTGATGATACCAGCCCAAACCAGTACTCCACCTCCACCTTGCTGGCGTCTGAGTCGGACTGGAGCTCTCTGCCCTTTACCAATCCAGCCACGGGCCCATCCATCTGGCCCATCAAGACTCACTCTCATTTCATCAGTCCATAAAACCTTAGAAAAATCAGTCTTGAGATATTTCTTGGCCCAGTCTTGACGTTTCAGCTTGTGTGTCTTGTTCAGTGGTGGTCGTCTTTCAGCCTTTCTTACCTTGGCCATGTCTCTGAGTATTGCACACCTTGTGCTTTTGGGCACTCCAGTGATGTTGCAGCTCTGAAATATGGCCAAACTGGTGGCAAGTGGCATCGTGGCAGCTGCACGCTTGACTTTTCTCAGTTCATGGGCAGTTATTTTGCGCCTTGGTTTTTCCACACGCTTCTTGCGACCCTGTTGACTATTTTGAATGAAACGCTTGATTGTTCGATGATCACGCTTCAGAAGCTTTGCAATTTTAAGAGTGCTGCATCCCTCTGCAAGATATCTCACTATTTTTGACTTTTCTGAGCCTGTCAAGTCCTTCTTTTGACCCATTTTGCCAAAGGAAAGGAAGTTGCCTAATAATTATGCACACCTGATATAGGGTGTTGATGTCATTAGACCACACCCCTTCTCATTACAGAGATGCACATCACCTAATATGCTTAATTGGTAGTAGGCTTTCGAGCCTATACAGCTTGGAGTAAGACAACATGCATAAAGAGGATGATGTGGTCAAAATACTCATTTGCCTAATAATTCTGCACTCCCTGTAGAGATTGCTGCACCTTCTCCTCAAAGGAGTGTAGATGAACTGTTTATAATGTCTTAAATAAAGACATCAAGTCAAAATTAAAATTAGACCATCTTGGAGTTTAGAAATAGTACATAAGCTTGCAACACTTGGCAGGCTTTGTTTCTGTACAGGGCACCTAATTTTGGATAAAGTTTAGATGCAAGCTTTTCTATGTGCAGGCCAAAAGATAGATTGGGGTCTAATATCATATCCAAGTATTTGAAAGAGTGGACCGCGGTCAGTGTGCCATTTGAATTTGTTTTGATGGATAGAGGACTGAGACCTCAAATTCCATATTGTGTATCGTGAGATCACACAGGGCAGAAGAGGTAACCAGGATTTACACAATACTGTCTTGTGCAGAGCTGCCTGAGAGTGATAACGCA